TCTGCCCAGCCGTACACTGTCTCTACTGATTAAGGGGAAAGGTGTGGCGGGAAGGGGGAAAGAACCACGTCATCTCAGATACAGCTCCTCAGTCTAATTCGTGGGAGAGGGGAAGATTCAGATCACTGGCCCGGGAGAGATCAGAGGCTTTCCTCCTAGCCCCACAGGGGATCCATAAGTCAAAATATTGACAAAAGCATTGATTATGTATCTTCCTGGCAGCCTTTGCAGCGTGGCCAGCCTGTCCCTGAATGAGTCATCTGGTCACCTGCCATCTAGAGCATGGGCTCCAAATTGTGGGCATGTTACTTTCCTCACACGTGAGGTGCATACCCAAAGGTCAGACTAGGGATCTCCAGCATCTGTCTACACCCAAAATGTACCCATCCCTTTCTAGAGAGATGTCTGTACTCTATGCGCTACCATACAGTTCATGAGCTTCGGGCAAGGGGCTGGAGGTTGAAACACACAGAGACACGGACCTCTAGTCACTGGTAGGAAGCCCTTTACTCAATAGCACCACGGAGGCTTATATACCCAACAGTCAGGTGGGCCAACAGGTGAAAACCTTATCCTCTGATTCTCGAGGCCAAGGCAACACGTGCTCGTGAAGCAGAGCTGGTAAACAACTTTGACACAGCTTTCAGTAACTCAAATCAGAAGGAAAGGAAAGATCTCTAGCAGGTCTGGAGGCCAGGACTCCAAATGGTCCCAAAAGAGACAGTCCCCTCAACCACATGATCACCTGGCCCTCAGCTCTGCACATTATTCTCTCCTGAAGGCACGCCCACCTCCCTTCTTGGCTCAGGAAGGAAAGTAGGCAATTGTTGAGGGTTAGCTAGGTGTGGAGGCACCAATCTGTAATCTCAACACTCAGGAGGGTGAGGCAGGAGAATCTCGTATTCGAGAGGCAGAGGCAGGCGGATCTCTGTGAGTTTGAGGCCAGCCTGGTCTACAAGAGCTAGTTCCAGGACAGGCTCCAAAGCAACACAGAGAAACCCTGTCTCGAAAAACCAAAAATTAAAAAAAAAATTCCCAGCCTGGACTCCATCCTGCTCACTGCACTGGCAGTCCACAAGAGGGTGACTGGTGGGTGGACGCCTCCAAGTCTACACTGGGAAAGGATGGCAAACTGCATAGGGCGCGGCTGGCAGCTCTGAGGACACACAGGGTGAGCTGAGCCGCGGTCACGTGCCTTGGCCAGCCTCCTGACCTCTGTTCGTGTGAACTGCAGACACTCTCACTGCGGGTCTAGGTCCATGCCCCGCATTTCACAGGTGAGCTCTTATTCACACGTTGGCTACACACAACCCGGCTGCAGATCCCGCCTGGAGCATGAAGGAGAGCCCACCCCTCCTGGCCCCCAAGGCAGACTCAGCAATCACTGAGTGTTCCTCTGTCTCCCAGAAGGCTGGATGGAAGGAACACAGGGCTCAGCATACGGCAACCCTGCTGGGGTCACAACTTGAAGGGACTCTGTGCCCACAGTCCCAAATAAGATCACTTCCTTGCTCCCAGTTCCCAAGCAAGTGGCTTATTCTACTCCCAGGCTCCAGGAGGGCTTCTGAGATGAGTGGGAACAAGAGGCTGCCCCCTTCCCTTTCCCGGGACATCCTGATTCCAGAGCCGCACCTATCCCCTCATCTCATCCCCTGCAGATGCTTTGGGAACCAGGGGCAGCAGGATGGGGGTGCTGGCACTCCTGACACCCAACGTTCCCCGGCAGTATTGCTGCCACACAATCACGACCATCTCTTCTCTAGACAGCTTCCCAGTTGTGTCAAATACACAGAACACAAAAACCCACCCACTTCCAAGTGCTGTTCACGCGTGTTAAATACACTTGCGATGTTGTGCGGCTGCTACCAGCACTTATATTCCTCTTCCCGAGCTAGACCTGTCCCCGTTAGACACGGCCACCCCGTCTTCCTCCCGCCCTGGCTCTACTTCCTGACCGTGATTTCACAAGTCTGGGTTCCTCCTGTAACTGGAGTCCGTGCAGAACCTGTCCTTTTCCAACATCCTCAGTGTTCACCTGTGCTGTGTACAGATGCGCGGTCTCCCACTCTGCAGACATTGTGCCTGTTCTTTATCTGCTCGCAGGTCTGTGAACACTTGGGTGGCCCTGGCTCCTTGGCTACTGTGTCAGTCACAGCTGTGGGCACCAGTATGAGAGCGTTTGCCTCTGCTTCTAACTTTTCGAGCATAGACACAGAAGCAGAATTTCTGAACTACAAAGTGATTCCATTAAATTTTTGTTGGCCCTCCGAACTGTTTTATCAGACTGCTGTGCCCCATCCGAAACTGAGCCCTCTTTCAGAGACTGGGGGCAGAGTATTGCCCTGCAGCCTCCCCAAGGCCCTTCCCCATCCAGGGAGTTTCTCAGTCAGCTTATGAAGAAGGGATTGGGTTTGTGACTTTAAGCATAACCAAGACAACTCAGTTTGCAGCACCCCCCCCCCAATCTACAAAATAGTGTGATTACTCAATGGAAGGGCCTGGCCAACTCCAGACTATATTCCATTTCATCTCCTGTCCTTTCCCCCAGACGTACTGAACTCTCATGTGGGGAACTCAGGGAGGTATATGAAGGGCAACTTGGAGAAGGGCACCCCATCCCGCAGGGCACCCCATCCCACAGGGCACCCCCATCCCACAGGGGACCTCCATCCCACAGGGCACCCCCATCCCGCAGGGCACCCCCATCCCGCAGGGCACCCCTATCCCGCAGGGCACCCCATCCCACCCAACGCTGCGGAGGCAGCGGATCCTTCCACCCCCTCCCCCAGCTCACAGTGCTTCTGCAAGGCAAAGCCCGCCAGCCAGCCAGAGGCAGCCTTCACCCCTCCCCCTATGTGAGCTACTCAAGTCGGATGGTGTGAGCCAGGAGCCCAGCGAGTTTCCCACACTTTGGCCCCATTCACAGTGTTAAACGGCCCACAAAGGCCAGGCGTGTGCCTCAGAGGCCGCCCGGGCTGCCATCTGGCCCGCACTCGGGGAGGCAACCGGCCTTTCATCCGGCTGCGGTTTAACACCATTCATTTCATATTTCCCACAACTGAAAATTGGATCAAAGCTGCTCGGGTTGGGGAGGGGGGTGGTGGCGAGGAGGAGCGGGGAGGGGGTTGCCCTCCCCATGGCCCACCCACCACCCTCACTCCTAGTCAGCCACTCTCCTAACCCACCACGGGTGGGCGGGCGGTTGGGGTGGGATGGAGGTTGGACCACATCTCCTGGCACGCGTCTCATTTGGGTGAGGAGCTGGTTCAGGGGAGGGTGTGGGGAGTACAGAACACCAGCCTTAGCCAACTGCCCCCACCAAAGCCTGGGGGAGCAAAGTCTGGACGTGAATGACCCCCAGATCCGAGTACAGTCTTGGGTCCTTGCTGCCAGCATCCAGGTGCAAATGGTGAAGGCTCACAGGGGCTCAGACCCTGCTCCCAGGTGGTGGGTTCCAGGCTCTCCCGGGTCTGTTTGCATTACCTCAGCCCTCTGCTGATCACCTGGTCGCTCCTGGGCCCTGGGTTGACAGGACATATGGAACAGGCACACAGGTGTCTAGGTCATCATGTTCTCTCCACCCCCAGGGAGCCCAGATCCATAGCATGGCTAAATTTGACTACCATATGGCATGAACCTCTTTCGGGCTGCAAACAACGCTCCCCCGCCAGGACCATCGGGACTCCCTCTCCTTTGTGGTTTGTGGGGGCTGCTTGCCACAGGTCCTCAGGACTGCAGGACCAGAGGCCTAGGCATGCAGGTCTGAGCCTCCCCCTTCCTCTACATCAAATAAACACCCCAGAGAGAAGCCTCCAGCTCGGGGTGAGGGGTGTGGGAGGTGACTATACGTACCTGTGCCCCTATATCTTGCTGTGGCCAGGCCATTCTGAGCTGTCTCAAAGCCAAGCCATCCCCACTGTCCCTAGGCCTGGCAAACACAGCAGTTGGTCACTGCCATGGCAGGAAGGTGTTTCCTGAGTGGACCTTAGTGAAGGCCCTTTGATTCCTGGGCTCTGTCAGACATGGCTGACATCCATCTAGAGAAGCTGGTTTCGGCTCCGGCTGCAGTGTTCTGATGCCAGCCTCCTACTTGCACCCGACTAGGTCTTAGGCTGATTCAGGAGGAAGAAATGGCCTCATCCCCTCCCTTGGTCCCTGGAGACGATCAGAGAAATAGTACCGGTTCCAGGTGGCACTCCCTAAGAGTCTAGGGTGGGACTAGTCAGGTCACCTGGCCAGACACCACTGAGTTCATCCCAAGGGGACCAACTATGCTGGTACAACATCCATGTAGGGCCTTATTCTCGGTTCTGCCACTTAGCACCCACCCCCACAAAATGCTGAGTAAAACAGGAACACACACACACACACACACGAGGGGGACTGTGAGAGGAGTTAGGGGCAGCCAAGGAACCATGCAGGAGTAGGGATCGCAGGCAAGTGAAGGAAGCATGGTCCTCCTACTCAGAGAGCTACGCATAGTGGTACTCAGGTCCACACAGGGTGGAGAGAAGGCCCCGATGGCGCCGGCTGACCCAAGAGCAGTCCAGACACCCTGTGAGTGCGGAGGCTTCCGCAGGCTTCCTGAGTGTGGGGCTTCATACTATCCGAAGCAAATTCAGGTGGTATGCCCGGCAGGTTGCACACTTTAACACCCAGCCAGTTCTAGCTCTGCAGAAATCACTCTCCCAAGTGTCAGTTTGGGGACTGGCAATAAAAACTAGTAACGCTGATCCTAAGAGCCTGAGTCCCTCTCTCATCCACTACCTGTGGACAGTGTGACAGGCAGCACCTGTTTGGGAGAGTGTGGCCCACTTCAACACACTCTCCCTGTGGGCAACAGGTTCCAAATGGGGAGGGAGCCCACCCGTGCCCACCCTCTGGAAGCGGCTGTCTGTTAATTGTAAGACTCCTTTTTCTGCGCCTGTGGCCTCTGCCAGCCAGCGGTGGGGAGCCGCTGGGGAGTGGGAGGGAAGAAGGGAGAGAATGGGGGAGGGGGCGCTCCTTCCTGCCCTCCCCACCTCCCCGCGGCCTGGGAAAAGGCAGCATATTGAGGCGCGGGGCTCTCAGCATCAGGCCCCGGGATGCTAATGAGGGCGAGCGCGTTCCCACAGCCCGGACATTGTGCCGCGCGGCCCACCTGCTCCTCGGGGAGCGACCATTGTGCCCGCGCCAATTCACAGGCAATTTAGCGTGCGCTAATGGGCCGGCGCCTTTGTGCGGCCGGCGCCGCCATTGGCCGCTGAGTGTGGGAACGGCCGCGGCGCCCAGGCCCCAGGCGCCGAGCCGCCGCCCGCGCCTATATAGGGCTGGCGCGCGGGGGTCGGGGCCGCGCCAGCCCGGGACGCCTGGCTTTGCCCGTTCCGCTTCTCTCCTCTCCGCTCGCCACTCTCTTCCTGAACGCCAGGCATGGCCCCAAGTACCGTGGCGGTAGAGATGCTCAGTCCCAAGGAGAAAAACAGAGTAAGTGCCACTCGCCCGGCGCGCAGCGTCTGGTTCCCCCCGGGGCCTCGGGTCTCAGCCGCTCACCTGACGCCTCTCCTCTCGCAGCTGCGGAAGCCGGTGGTGGAGAAGATGCGTCGGGACCGCATCAACAGCAGCATAGAGCAGCTGAAGCTGCTGCTGGAGCAGGAGTTCGCGCGGCACCAGCCCAACTCCAAGTTGGAGAAGGCCGACATCCTGGAGATGGCTGTCAGCTACCTGAAGCACAGCAAAGGTGAGCCACGCGTCTGCGCCCGCCTCCCGCTCCCCGCCGGTGTCACTTCCACCGCGCGCGCCCCGCTCATGCCGCCCCGTCTCCCCTCAGCCTTCGCCGCAGCTGCCGGCCCCAAGAGCCTGCACCAGGACTACAGCGAGGGCTACTCGTGGTGTCTGCAAGAGGCCGTGCAGTTCCTGACCCTGCATGCCGCCAGCGACACGCAGATGAAGCTGCTGTACCACTTCCAGCGGCCCCCTGCGCCCACCGCACCTACCAAGGAGCCCCCGGCGCCGGGCACTGCCCAGCACCCCTCACGCTCCCCGGCTAAGGCCTCTGCCGCCGTCGCCACCTCTCGACAACCCGCCTGTGGCCTCTGGCGGCCCTGGTGACCCCGCGGCCAAAGGATGCCTGGAGCGAACCAGAGGACAGCCGGTTCCTCTCGTTCCTCTCCGTGTAGGGAAGACTTTCTCCAGTGGCAGTTCAGCCCCAGGTTGACCGCAACCTTCTTCCGAAGGCTCCCTCCCCAGGCTGGCTGGCCAGCAGGAGAGTCATTCTTAGAGAATGTTGTGCAGAGTTTTCATTTGGGGATAATCAGGGTCCACCTTCTGCCGTGTGTCCGACCCCATGGGGTTGTTTTGCGTTTGCATTTCAGCAAGTGACTTCTGGGAAGTTCCCGGTCACCGGGGGTTCTATGATATTTGTAGAGTCAGGGGTTGGTTTACCGGTGCCCCAGCCTGTAGAGGACTTTCTTCAGGGCCCCTTGCTGCTGGGCAAGCACCCTGCAGGTGGGCTGTGCCCTGGGCACACTTGCCTTTTGTGAAGGCGGAACTGCAGGCTTTTCCTCATAGGAAAGCATTCAGCCTGCGTGGGCATAGGGCTCGTGGGACCTCACCTGAAGGTCCGTTTGGCCTTGGCTGTCTGATGCGCGCTTATAGTGGGCTGTCTGGGAGGGTGGGGTCTCCACGATGATCCTTAAAGGATTCCTCTGTGTGGGTGGGTGCATGTGGGCACGATTTTGTATTTAGAATTTGAACTCTTGGTCACGTGGGAGACCACGGACTGCTCTGAAGGCTTCTAATAAAACATCAAGCCCGCTATATCTGTGCCTTTTGTCTGTCCTTGGCAGCCATAGGGGGGACCTGCCCCAAACAGGGGTCAGGAGGGGGGTTGCTGGTGGTCGTCTAACAGAGAAAGGGAAGGCAAGAGGCAGGAGGAGAAAGAGAGAGGGGCAAGCAGAGCTGTTGGTGCTCTCACTGAAAACAAGACCTTGGTAGGCTGCCACCCACTTTTAGTAGGAGAGGGTGGGGGAAAAGGCAACCTAGTAACCATAGGTCCTTTGCTCTGTCACTGAGATGGAAACTGAGGGACGCAGTGGATCCCTTGATGTAGCAAAAAGAGGCTTGGCTGCATCAAACCCGAGACAGTGTCTGTCCCAGCTCCCGCTTCCTTTAGTGCAGCTGTTAAGCTAATTCATATATTTCCTCCCACGAGAGGACTGACTAGGGTCGGGGTGGCCCGTTCCGTTCAGGCCATGAACCTGGTAGGGATGGTTCATTGCCTCAGACAGGTACTTACTTTGAGGTAGGCTACAGGACGATGGCCAAATTCACAGCTTCCAGGTGCCCCAAAGTAAAAATTCGTGGCGCAGGAAGTGGGCAGGGGCTGGATGGGTCCACATGTCTTCTGAATGACAAGTCACAGACGTGGGCCCTGCCCTGCCCATCTTTCTCACTCAGCAGTCCCAGTGGCCCCCTGAAGTCCCTGCTGAGCCCCTAGATGTAGTGAGAAATCTCCATCTCCACCCATGTTGCTTACCACGGGATCAGCATATTTATGACCAGGAAGGAGACCACTCCCTTGTCGGGTGGCCTTCTAAATGCTGGGTAGGCATACCCCACTGACAGGGGCTGAGTTGCTGGGCCATCTTGCTCTCGGAAGGAACCCTGCCACCCTGCAGGGGGCTCTCCATTCAGAGTGTGCCCATCCTGTTGGCAGGCACATGCAGAGCATGGCTGCCTCCTCCCTGAATCAGTCCAGATAAGTGGCAGCTGTGCTGTGCATGGCCTCAACCCTGTGCTCCAGGAGCCTGCAGACAGAACCTGAGAGCAAGATACTAAGTTATGTGGCGGGCCTCTTGGAGGACACAGTGCTGACAAGGGACTTAAGTCAGCAGGAACTACAGATCACCTCCACTCTGGAACCCTGCCCCCTCTTCCAGGGATCCTTCCCTCCTTTTGCCTATACTTTCTGCAGATTGCCTTTAAATGTCCACTTTCCCCATGGCTGGGCACTCCTGAGTGTAGGGTCCTTAAAACTACTCCAGTTTCTGTGGGAGTTAGAAGGTCCCACGTCTGTGGAAAATCAGTCAACCTCACAGCAGGAGGGCGCCGGACTTAGGTGGTCTGGTAGCAGGATCGGCGGGCTCGGCACAAGTTAGCACCCAGACAGCTCAGCGACGGAACAATATTCCAGAAGCTTTGTATTAGTAGTCTGGAGAATAATAGCACTCCCTTCCGCAATCCTGGCCTCTGGAAAACTTGTCTGGGACCGTCTAGAGGCACGGTCTCCAGTACAGGCGGAGGGGGGCGTGACCACATTAGCATAATTTATGCACGCGGCGTTTAGCAGTCAATTATATGCGCATATATCTCCATGGCAGATGAGGCTGGCCAGGCACTTTCAAAATGGCGGAGCGTGGAGCAAGTGGCGGCGGGAGCGGCGGGGACAGTCTGGACAAGAGCATCACGCTGCCCCCTGACGAGATCTTCCGCAACCTGGAGAACGCCAAGCGCTTCGCCATTGATATAGGTAGCCACGGTCCGGGTACTCGAGCGGGCGGCCAGAACTGTGGGCATAGGCGGCCAGCGGGGGCGGCGGGAAGGACGAAGGGCGGAGGCGCGGGCCATGCGCACAGCCTCACGGGTCGCCGCACAGCCTCTTGGGACTTGTAGTGTGTGCAGCGCCAAGGTGCGGGATCGAGCCGGCTGCGGGACTTCAGTCCCCGGTAGGCGCTGCGCGGTTGGAGCGGGGCATGTCGGGCTTCGTAGTCCGCGCGGCGCCGGCCGATTGTGAGGGCTCCGTGGAGAGACGGGCGGGGCGGGTAGCCTCGGAGGTCCTAGTCCACTCAGATCCCCTGGGGTTTGGCTGCACGCCGCTTCGAGGCACAGTCCGCCGGACCTCCCACTTCCCAGACAGCGATAGAGACGTGGGGTCCGGACACTCGTGCACTGGGTGTAAAGCTCCCAGCGTGTTCCGTGGATTTGGGCGCCTGCACTACCTCCTACGTGCGCCTCCTCCTGCGTGCCTGGTGGTTGACCTCACTGCCGACCAGCTACCGGCCGGCCTTAGACCCTTTTCCTTGTTGGGCTACCTCATAGCTCCCAACAAGGAGATTCTGTCATCCTTGTGTGCAGATGTGGAGACCAAGCTCGGGGATCGGTCAATTCGTAGATAGCAGAGCCAGGATGGGTCCCGGCCAATCCCCAACCGCTCTGCTGTGCATCCTGTTACTGGGGAGTTTTGCCCGTGTGCCTCTTGATGCCAGCGTGGTCAATGAGGCCCGCACAGCAGGGCAGCATCTGCTGTCTTGGACTTAACTCCGTGAATGAATGGGTGTGCTGCTGGCTCCTAGCCTCCTTGAAAAGTCTGGATCGTTAAACGACTTGATGATTCTCGTTACTTCTGGAATATTGAATGTGTTCTCTACCCTCATGCTTTTGGGTTGTCTCTCTGAGGTGCCCTTTCTTGGAATGGGGAGTGGATGTGAAAGCAAAGATGGCCTGGTCTGAGCTCCCACTGTTATCAAGGGCTCAGAAGGGTTGGTGATGGGGAAGGGAAGTAGGCAGTAGAAAAGATTCCAGTAACCCCTGAGATAACTTGGTGATTGACTGACTGGATATTGGGCTGAAAGTGGTGATCTTACAGGCCCAGCAGAGGGGACTGTCCGCAGCCAGACCTCTCCAAAAGTCCTAAGGCAGCTGTCCCCAGGCTTTTGAAACCTTCTCTCAGGGCTGGGTTTTGTGCTTTGTCCTGTGGTCTTACACTTGTTTGTTGGGAAGAAAAATTTAGTAAATATGTCTGAAAAGCAGTTGAAGTTGATTGCAAACATCATCTGTCAGCTGAGAAAATAGGGTTCACCTTGGATAATGTATGTGGCTCCCCGAGACCATCCATCCAGAAGCCACAAAGCATGCGCTGTAGTGAAGGGCTGCCTCAGGTCAGACACAGACTCCCTTGGCAGAAGGACACTGCAGGGGTATGTTCAGTGTTGGATTTTGTCTCCTAGCCTGGGTCTTGGATCAGAGCTTAGAAGGACATGCTTACTGTTCCTGAGGACAAACTTTTTTTCCCCCGTAGCTGATGGGAGATCACAACTCAGGAACTCAGGATGGGGTCAACAACTCAGGCACCTACAAAACAACATGCTTGCTGGCAGTGTTGTTTAAAAATAGACTTCTCCTGTTTCCTCTTTCTGTGTCTCTGGATCGAGGAAGCCTCAGCTGATCTGTGTTCTTGGCGAGCTCTTTTCCTTTCTTGGATGGGGACATTCATGTCAACTAGGTTGATTCAGTCCTGGAAACACAGGTAGTAGGGAGGGTCCCCAAGGGGCACACAGGTAGGGAGAGGCTCCAGGGAGTAAATGCTGGACTGCCTGCCCTTCCTTGGTTCTGTGGTGTGCATGTGAAAGACAGAGGACAGCTTGGTGGAACTCAGTTCTCTCCATCCACCTCGTGGGTCCTGGGATCAAATTCAGGTCATCACTTGACAGCAAGCACCTTTATCTAACTGTCTCACCGGCCTCGCTATAAATTCTGATGAGTTGCTTAAAGTACTTTTCCATCAGTTTGCACAGTCTTGTCTTTTCAGAAACAGTGCATCTCAGAGGTGAATGGGACAGGCGTAGAGAAGCAGACAAGCCCAAGGACAGGCTGGGATTGAGGGCAAGAAAGAGGGCTCAGGAGGCTTAGGACTATGGCCAGGGATGAGATTAAGCTCATGACACACTCACTAAACCAAACTAGCAAGGCTGCATTACGGTCATTCTCGGTTGCACGGGACAGGCTGCATTATGGTCATTCTCAGTTGCAAGGAACAGCTGCATTATGGTCATTCTCGGTTGCACAGGACAGGCTGCATTGTTTTAGTTTCACCAAGGGGGGAGCTCTGACCCCAAAGCACTCTGGTCGTACATGTCTATAAATTTGAGTATCTGCTCCCTGTAGTCCTTTAAGTATTTTCTCATGGAAAAAAAAAAAAAACACACTTGGAAATAACTCAGCCATTTCACTCTGCTGCTGAGGAACCTTTGCCTTGTTTCTGTCAGCCTGTGAGAGGCTCAGCTGCAGTGGGGTGCTGAGGTTCCCGTTTTCCCCACATGTCCGTGTCCTTTGAAGGCCTGTGAATCTGCAGCTACAAACTGGAAAGTGCCTTTTCTGCTTGCAGGGGCTTGTTCTTGGCATTGCCTTCCCTGGACCTTTGGGCAGCTTTCCCTGGAGTGTGTGACTCAATTGGAGAGCACAGGGGGCTGGCTGTGGGCAGTGTTCCATGGGTGGCAGGCCCTGTGAAGATGCCAGGAGCCTGCCTGGCTCCAGGTGTGCTGATAGATGCATGCCTTGAATCCCATCACGTGGGAGGTAGAGGCACGTGGATTTCCAGCGATTTGCGACCAGCTCAGGCTACGTAGTGAGTTCCAAGCCAGCCAAGGCTACATAGTGAGACCCTGTCTCAAAAAACAATAGGACTGG